GTACCGAAAGGGGCTCTTGACTGAAATACCATTGATAAAACAAACTGATTGTAATGAAGAACTAGGCAACCTGCAGGTCAGAAAATGCAAACCATACCCTACCACTCAAAATTTCCTGGAACATCAGTTTCAACTGATGAATTGAAGATACAGAAGGAAAGTATATTCTCCAGTGTTTGAAACTTACCAGTGACAAACAAAACGTTAAGGACATTTAGGCACAGTTACTGCTTTACTCAGCGCTGCTCTAGTCAAAAGCGGGGCTTGGGGGTTGAAAACAGCTCTATCAACAATCATGAAACTTATCAAGTAGACAGCAAGTGAAGTACTTGAAAAACTGAAAGAACTAGGAATTCCTCTGACAGAAACAGAATAGGATGAAGAGAAATAATTTGGTATTTTGCCTCTACAGACGCTACTGAAATTAAAATAATATTCTTCTAATGTTTTGAAATTTTGCTTTTGGAATTGTCTATATGAAGAGCAACATGAGAGTGAATCTGAAAGCAGTAAGTAGTCCCTTGCCTTATTACAGACAACAGGAAAAAGCGTCTACTAGTTTACTCTTAGCATTTTTGTGCATTATTATCACACCTTATTCCCAAGGCAACAATTTACTTCCAAACACAAGTCTGTCCACATCAGCATCTTTTGCCATCCTTCTCTCTGCTCTCTCTAATTTTGAAATGTCCCAAGTATTCTATATGAAGGCTCTCTGCAAGACCATGTTGGTTTTGATACTACTACCTTTGCCAATTAAGGTATCAGAAATCTCTTACATCTTTTACTTCTGTTTGTAATTTATCACACATATACTACTTATGATAGTAACTGAAAGATATGCTTTCATCTAGTGCAGGAAATCTATTATGTCCTTTTCCTAACTAGTTTAACTAGTAGCAAATGGACGAAGTCACTCCATTGCTGAATTTTCAGCAGCAACGAGCAAAACATAATTTTCCTGTGTTAATATAATCAGTGAAATTTTAAAATGGCAATTAATAGTCAAACACCTGTCCACCATGTTTATGTTGAAAGGTAACCTCGGTAGCAAAGAACTCATAAGCAGGCGGCCAAAAGTTTACCACCTCCAATACCTCCACTGAGAAAGCCAAATGTAACAAAAGTTCAGTTCCATTCCTCAACCCCCCCAATATCTGAAAGAAAACAGAGTAATTATTTGTATTCCTTTAAATACAGCTGTTCTGGTTTCTATAATATTGCAAAAGCTGTAGAATGTACTATTACTGTGCTTGCTAAGTCACAAAAATTTTGCTTTAATGTAAGTGGTCCAATTTCTAATAACTAGAAGCTAACCTCCTGAACAGTACGGACACCATCTCTTAGTGTTCTGTATCACAATTGCATTATTTCACCTTTTAAAAATAGCACTCATGAGATACCATTTTACATCAGTCCTTCACTTCTGAACTTCCCTCTATACACTGCAAAATGTTTAAAGTGCATGTCCCTAATGACCACAGTAATAATACTGTAAAATTAAACAACTAGGTTTGTAAGAGCCATTTGCTTGGTGACTTTTAATAAAAATTTCCTCTGTGAAAAACCAAGCTGCTGAAAATTCCAATAGAAAAAGACAACTAAAGCCATACATTGTGGCTGCAAAAGTTTTCAAGTTTTTAAAGCCTAAATGAAGTATTTGAAGAATGCAGACAATCTTGGAAATAAGTGACCTGTAATTCTCATCTCTCTTCACTATTTGTGATGAAGAGCTGGAATAACTGGAAACAAATAAATGAATGCAATTATTGGTTGTTATTAAGCTTGCTTTATGCACTTGGC